CGTTTTCAGGAGCATCAGGGAGCCACCATTAGGTTCAATATCATCCGCAAACATGGGGTTGTAGTCTTTCACCATCCTTAAAATTCCTCAAAGAAGCTGAACGTTACGCGTTATAACCTTTTGACTCCTATAACAGTGGGACGCGCTGGTGGATGCCACTGAGTCTGGCGCATGGGACCATGGTACCCAGTGTTGGGTGCCACTATGCTTTTCCTTTATTGGCACATTTCAAACTTATTTAATGTTTTCATATTTATTGACAAACCTCATGGTACTTATATTCAAACATATACATATATACAATAAGGTAATATTAATAAAAAAACCTAGATACTTCCGCAAGGTTTGTGTACATCCTGGAAACATTGCAGAGAGTAAAAGCCGTGATAATTGCTGCATTGGGTTTTCACTTTCTTACTTTCTTGTGCTCCAGAACTACTTTCATGTGCTCTAGCATATTGGCGACTGGAATCCTTTACCATTTTGCTACAACAACTTTTACACTTCCGGCTTCCATTGGAGTCCGTCTTCGGTATTTCACTTACTTTCCATAACTTTTTTTTTCCATAACTTGTGCTGTTTCTTCCTCGAGGCCCATCAGTATCTCGGCAACAGCAATTTTGAAGTCGTTGGACTTCATCCCACTGTTCTGATTGTAGGGCATCCAGGCTTTAACAAGAGCAGTCTGGGTTAGCAGATGGAAGGAGAGCATTATGTACCAACGGAGTGTACGAAACCATTTGATCCGGTGGTTTACAAAACCCGTCATCTTGTTGTAATCGTCCGGAACTTCAGGCTTTTCCTGACGCCGTAAGATCCGCGTGTCTCGGAGAGCAAGTAGGCTTCCTGTCTCTCCAATTCGGGAGCAACACCCCTCGATTATTTTGCTGGAAATAGTTATCGCCTTTTCTTGACGTCTTGTTTTTCACGGGGAGCGGAATCGGAAGCTACCTTCCTGTCCTTGTGGAGACCCTGCCTGCATAAACCTTCACCTTCAAAGTCTGTGCATCTTAGCAACAGAGCTTGAACAGTTTGACGCCGTCCTTGTAGCCCTTAGATTTGTTGAATTGTTTGAATGCAATTCGTCCTTTGAATTGTACCATTGCTTCATCTGCAGAAGTTTCCTTTTCTGGCTTGTACATTCGTTGAAAGGAAGTACTGAGCAAGACTAGAACTTAGTGAATTTTATAGGGTCGATTTTCCTTGTCGGCATTCTGTTGTCTACGAGGCGTGAACATGATAGCAGGGTTTCAAAACTATTTCTGGCCATGAATTTCGCCGCCAAAGAACATTTGAAAGCAGACTTCGTAGACCAGTAATCAGTACTCATGTCTGTTCTTCTCTGTAACCATGAGATCTGACAGTTGATTTTTAAAAAGAGCTGGTAGCATTCGATAGGCCTCGTACAGTTCTGAACAGTGTATTCTGGTCCATATTCCTCAGTAAAAGCGAATCGGTCATAGGGAATAGCGTGTCCATCCCAAGACCGTTCGTCATCTTCTTCACAATCATCTTCATGCGCGTCATCCTCAGATGAATCATGCTGAACTGGTCCTACCAAGGCTTGAACAAAGTCATCATCCAGCAAAGTCTCATCTTCCTCGCCAAAACTAGCCGACCTATCTCAGGGACCATACAGCTCTGCAAAATGACCAACGAAACTGTCCATCAGTCAAATGACCTGAATGTAATTAAAGTTTACATCGTTCGACGACAGACTCATCGTTAGACGTCGTCGACATTTGTTGTGATCGTTTTACTTGACTGAAATATTAAAGGCACACTTCACGGTGAAAACTGTTTCTGAGATTTCCCCACCGGATGAATTTGATGCCCCTACGTACGCCATATCTGGCACTATTACGTCGGAAAACGGCTTAGTTAGGGAATTATAAAGGCTCAAAGATTTGACCGTGTGTATCCTCGGACGGATTTCACCGGCATTTTAGAGGCAGCACCAATCACAAGGTAACCCATGTAGGAAGTTCAAACAACTTGTCATGAACCAGTGTGACAGAGAAAGGCAGTTCTGTACAGTTCTGACTTGATGTAGTTAGCTCTTTGCGCAATTGCAATGACTGAAATCTCGTCCGAATACCCCTTCCATGTTATTTCCGTCATGGCAATCTCGTCCAACCTTTATTTCCCCTACTTTTAAGAAGCCATATTTCTCTTAAAATCGGCGAATTCTCTCGCTTTCTTCACTACCTATGAACTGTTCCCAATCTATACTTCCGCTTTTCGAATAAAAACGGGTACCTCAAAATTATCGAGAACTGTGCTTTTAAACCGCCATTCTCTATTGGAGTTAAGTGCGGCGCTTTAATGAAATAAGCTCCATGCATTCTCCCATTCTTTGAGCCGACTCCTAATATGACTTCATGGTCTGTGTGCCACTTCCACGTTCCTACTCACGTCTCGTTTCTTGGACACATGCCACATCTACGGTGCATTTGTCTGTTTCAGGTATTAGCTGATCAATGGCGGCGTTTTCGCTCCTCCACCTTATTTTGAAGAACTTCGCTTTTGTCGAATCATTCGTAAAAAGGTCTTTCGTCTTTAACCCGAATTCCACCACCATCCGTTCTGCTTGCTCGATGTTCAATGTTATAAGCACAATTTCGTCTTGTTAGCTGGGGCGATGTGAATAAGGTCAACATTTACTACCATTTTTCCTTATTCCCAGTGACGCATGATGTTCTCGAGAGTTTGTGCGATGTGATACCGCCATGAGTCTTGTACCAGCGTAGCTGTGATATAATATCATACAATAATATCACTTTCGTTGCCGTGGTCTACATACTATTTGCTACACCAACTGAGGTAAATTGGCTCCAGCAAGCATTGGAAAACCGTTGCCTCGTGAACATTGGCTTCGACAGCCTGCCGAAGAGTTTTTGGTCATGTCTTGAGAGCCCACCCTTGGATCTATAGCTTCTCTCTAATACTTTTTTTTTGTACTTCGTCGAGGTGCTCATTGAAAAAAAAAAGTTCAACTGTAGTCTGTCGCTTATATCACAAAACCTGAAATACCTAATCTATTTATCAGGATATGGGGTTCAACTCTGAAATTGTGCATGAGGAATTCTTTTGAAAATCGAGTTGATTTATCATATTTTTTATGCAACTTTTAAGACGTTTAAGGCTTTTTGAGAGGAAGAAGACGATTTTCCTGCTGTTGACCTTACTACGCATTCGCATGATAGAGCTGCTTGAAGATCGAACATCTGGCTTACATCGGGTGTCAATTTCCTGGCCACTTTCTCTACATGTGGCAACCTGCTGTCTGTAATCTATATAACTTTCTTACACAACTCAACATTAGCAGCGTCTGCAAAGTACTTGATGAAGGATCATGAACTATGCAGCATGTAAAGTTTTGTGGATGGTTTGATGCACATCACATCACATCACATCTGCAGTATTACAAGACTCAGGGCATTACCAAATCGCCCGAACTTATCAAGACTTATCAATGCTGCTCTCAAAAACATCATGCGTCGTTTGGAGGTGGCCTGGAAGTAAAAGTTGGAGGCCTCGTTAACATCACCCCCGCTCAAGAGAGGACATCGTGTTTATAACACCGAACATCGAGCGGGCGGAACGAATGCTGGTCAAATTTGGTTCAAAGATTTTTTTTTATAATGGATCAACGGAGGCGATGTTCATGAAGGAAAGATTTGTACCTAAGGGTTCCTTTTAGCGAAACGAACGTCTTTGAATGCTCCGATTACGTGCCCTGGTCGAGAATCATTTCGATAAACAAAGAAATCGAAGATAAAGTGGGCTAGACACGTCTTGCGATCTTGTGATGAGCGTTGTACCAGGGCTGTTATTGACCGGATCTCTCTGGACGTTAAGCGAGCACCAGAAGGGTAGCCAACACGATAGTCAGCCTTTTTTGGGAAATTCTGAACGGAAGAGATGCCACATCGTGATCTTCGAGCGAAATACTGAACCTACTGTACTGCATTAGCTCGCAACAGAGGATATTGGAGCCCGCTAGAGCATATAATGATTTCACAATGAATTCATTCGTTGAATAACGTTTTCAAAATAATGCTCCCGAGAATTAGAGGAGGATCCAGTAGGTTTTTTCTCAGCCAATCTGGGAGTACCTTGCGAACCAAAAGGTCCTCGTTCAGAGTTAGTAATCATTATTTGATGCTTTCAAAAAAAAAAAAAACTGACAATACCTCTGGATCATTTTAGACATCGAGTTGCTAAAATGCTTTTCAGATGTGATACAAAGTAGTAGCGTTTTCTGAGACTGACTGCTGAACTATAGAATTTCTCCGTGTATTACTGTCAGATTTCAGGGAATTCGATTGGTTTATTTCGTACGGAATTGTGTTTGAGTTTTCGGTATTCCATAGATATAGTTTTCGCACTTGTTCCTTTTGCGCACGTAGCAAACCTATAGCTCCGATCAACGAGCACATGTTGTACAGATCAATAGCTTTCAAATGTCCGGACAAACCAACTTCCTACTCTTTCCTTTATTTGGAACCCGTTAGCATGAGCCTAGTTTGAACTACACCTAGTCGTGCAGTTCTGCAATGACTCCACTTCGAGAAATTAGAGATTTCCCAAGTGCACATCGTTGTCTAAGTGCAGATAACATGAGTTTCAAGTGCAGCCTGACAGGATTGAAATGAGGAATAAAGACATTTCATTCGTTCACCTCTTCGGAGAAAACCTTCAGTAGTTTCCAAATTTTGCTTGGATGATATACAAATTTTCAGATGTTCCCATTTCTCTTTCAACATTCCAATCACAGCGAGCCATTGCGTATCATCGATCCCAAGATGATTAACGATTTTATGAAGAAGTTGCCGATATTTCTGGATAGCCAATCGTCGGAAGCGCTTCTCAACCTCACAGTTTCTATTTTTGTAAGCTTGTGGAAATGAAGAGATTGCAATACTAGGAGAGATGTGAATCATAGTGATCTACGACACCGACTTTCTCAGGTGATAGCCTTCATTGCTTATCAAGCCATGACTCTGACTGTACGTTCGTCGAAGAACGAAGGCCGCGAAGGTGCAGTTGTAGCCGAGGTTGTCCAGCGAAATCTCCAAAGGGACAAGGCATGTGGTGAAGACTCTTGTTTTGCTGATCTTCACGACTACCTTTTCACAGAAAAAGAGGTTTGACCACGTTTCCCTTTTCCATGAGGCAACAGCAAATTAACAGAAGCGCTTTCAGATCCTCTACCATATGCCCTACATGCATGAACGCGAAATGCTTCGGGCGTCTCAATATTTCTATGAACAAATGAGACTTCGTCGAAGTGTACGAAGTTTCAGCACCAGAGCCGTGCCTCTGAAAATCGTGCAGAACATCATAAAGACAGCAGGTCGTATGATAGATTTTGACGTACATTTTACAATTGCGTTCAGCTGTGAGTTTAGGTTGCTCGCCAAGCGTTGCTAATGCTCAGCCTTGGAAATTTTGTGTGGTCGTCAGCGATGAGCGAAAAGCCGATATTCGTGCTCTTGTCGAAGCTGATGCTCGGGAAAACTACGTACGTCGGTACGTTCGAATTACTTTTCTCTTCATCATTAGCTCTTCTGCATAACAGTACGCTAATTGCTGACATATGGAAATATTTTTGTTCCCATGCAACTCATTACCTAATCTAATCTGCTCGTAACTCTTCTTCACCTCTGTTGTCCCTGTCCTCTGTCCACCTGTTGTCCCTTGCATAAAAGAGCATCATTGACTTCCCGTTCCTCTCGAGAGTCAATGTGGGTTTCAAAGGGGTTCCATGGTCGGATTTCAAAGAGTTCAAGAAGAGTGATTCTGGGTACCATTCCTTTGCAATGCAATTTTTTCCGAACATCAAAAAGATTTTTGCTGTCTCAGTTGTTCCATTTTGCCTTCATCTCCGACTTTTTTTTTNTTTTTTTTTCTAATTTGTGATTTTCAAGAATGGGCGAAGGAACCGAATGGGTTATGAGAGTTTCGCAATTGCAAGAAACATGGAAACGACCATACCTTACTGACGCACCTGTTCTACTAGTTGTTTGCCATGAGGTAAGAGTCTAGCAAACAGAATCAATGAGCCTTTCCTCGACTATGACAAATGATAAAGATTGATAGACGAGCATTGGGAAGGTGGAGGAGTAGTGTGAGCATAGCACTCTTTTTTCGTCGACGTCATGCTAACACATTCTGTCTTGGCAATAGCATTGGCCCACTCGCAAATTTTACTAGGAGTATCCACGGCTCACCTCGATGCTTGCCGTATTCTTCCACACTTATGTATAACTAGTTGGGTTAAGCACGCTAACGCGTACATTATATGTCGAGACCGCTTATCTACTATGGAGCCATTCAGCGTAATTTTGGATTATGAGTGTAAGATAGAATTGTTAGTAATTGATCACAGCTCCGTCCACCTTAGTGCAGACCCCTTCCACTAAAAGGAACTTGACCACTTTTCTTTTTACTGCTCCTAACCATTTTCCCCGAATTCTAGGAAGTTTTTGAAGAGATGAATTTTTGGCTCCAGCCGCGCTTCCCTGTGCCAGCTCCGCCCACTTCAAGGACTCAACCACATATGTTCCATTACCTCTAACCTTTTTTTCCCCGCGTTCTAGAACGTTTCTGAACAGAGATAGGGAAATTTTTATCCCAGCCCAACCTACTTTGGTGCCAACTCCGCACACTTCAAGGATTAGGCCACATTTGTTCCATCCCCTCCAACTGCTTTTTTCATGCATTCTAGAACGTTTCCGAACGGAGTTACATTCATTTTTGAAAAGTTGTATTCGTATCAACGCACGCCCAGCCCATCGTGGGCGGGGCTTCGCTAAGCTTACGCATGCCTAGCACTCATAAGACCTTGCTCACTCTTTTGATTTTTTTCGTGGTCTCGACGCCTCGGTTGAATCGAGTTATGAATCTTTATGGAAAGTACCACCCACGGCCATTGCGAGATCGCTCCATCGTAAGTTTACCTTATTTAAGCAATTAAGGGTGTTTTTCCAACGTCGCCAAATGATACAGCCACTAACGAAATTAATTTATTTAACAACAAACATACAACAAGGAGAGAAAGTTGCAAAGTCAATAATCAGCTGACCAACCATTCATCCAAATTGCTTTGATAATGCGGTAGTTTAGGCTCGAATAAAAAATTATCGGTCAGCTCCTGGGCAACTTGGTGCCATGCTTCGATTATCGCTTTTTTCAACTCATTGACGCCTCGGAGTTGCTTATTCTGGGCGCAAACCTTCCGCACCATGAAACCCCATACATTTTCCATCGAGCTCAAACCGGAGCTGTTCGCCGGTCAGGGTAGAAGTGCCGAGAGAACCAAGCTTGGGTGCCCTGCTGACGTAAATTGAGGCGTTATCTTGCATAAAAACAAGGTTTCGGTGCAGATTCTGACGCCAAGAAGGGAGAAGTGCACGGCGCATAACAGTACGACAAAAGGATGAGCTCAGCTCCTTTGATACAAATCATAAACGGGTGAGCCAATCGATAAAATTGCGGCCCCAAACTATTACTCTCATCCCTTGAAGTTGCGTCTGGAAAAGTGAGGTTTTTCCTTCCTCAGGTCGTGCCAATAAAATCGGTTTCCGTCTGGACCATCACAGTTGAACTTCTTTTCATCGGAAAAACCGACTTGAAGAGCAAAAATTATCAAGAGAAGGAAGGTCAAATGTCAGCACATGAAGAACACCTTATTCCACTCGGTTCGGCTGCACCGTCTGGCGAAAGCAACCCGATACCCTCGATGTCATTTGTCATGAAGGACGTTTTACGCATTTCCCGCTAGAAATGGACGTGGACTTTCTGATCACCTTCCAAACAGTGCTTTTTGAGACAGAGACGATCGGATTTCCATACAGGACTTGGTGGAGTTNAAGGTACGGCGCTTGTCCCTGTCGGAAAGCAGCGAAGGACGTGCAGTACTTGTTCTGGTTTATCATAGGCTTCAGGACTTTGACGAGATTTTCCAAAACTGCGTGACATCGACCCAAATCTCGCGCGATTCTGCGATTTGACAGTCCCTGCTCCTTTTTCGCGAGGATTTGACCTTATTCGAATTTCGAAAGCAAACTTCTCTTCCCATCGCCTGAAAATGAAGAACATTACATAATCGAAGCAATTTCGTTGCGCTGAACTAAAAAACGACAGGAAGACATGAAGTGTCTGTATCATTTGGCGACGTTGGAAAAGCACCCTTTACTGAGAAACTGACCAAGTAAAATGTTTGTGTTTTTGAGCTGGAATTTGGTGATAATGTGCGAATTGCAATTCAGATTTGACACATTTTTTACTTTGGCACTTGTTCAGAAACATCAAATACTGTGAGTTTTGGGGGAAATTAGGGGTGGCTGTATCACTTGGCGAGGCACTAAATGTTCGTATACCAAGCATTGTTTTAGTGAAGACAAGTTAAAAACTGAGATGAAAACGATTTGAAAGAATCATGGTCTCATGCGAAGTGTGGGTTGTTGCTCGTACTGTACCGAATGATGCCATAAGTGGCACTAGAGAATTGCCATGCCCGAGTTAAAGGCACAGTTCATGATAATTTTGAGGCATCCGGTTTTTGACGGGAAATGATAGGTACGGCCTACAGTAGTACAATGATAATACAGGAACCGAGAAAAACGACGAATAATAGAAATATAAGGGGTCAAAAAAGAAGTAAAAAGGGGGGTTGGACGAGTTACACAGCCGAAAACCGCGGTTAGGGGGAGGGATATGGGTACATTCACCCAGAACTGGAAGGCCGCGACAAATCGCGGGGTGAAACTCGCGGCGGCTTAAACGACTCTAGCGCCTACCACTGGGGCCCAAATTCGAAGTAGATTGGTAGGATCAGCTGACCATACTAGTCTACTCTACTTCAAGTTTGCGCCCCAATGATAGGTGCCAAAGTCGTCTTAAACGCCATGAATCTCGCCGCGCCAGTTGCCGCGTCCATTCAGTTCTGGTTGATGTTCCGTCTCCTTAGGGGGAATGTTCGGGCGAGTCAGACGAACACGACGCAGTGTCTGCAATTGCACACAACACCCGAAAACAGCTGATTTTGAATAAAAAAGAACTGCAAGCAATACCTAATCCAAAACATCTTTGCAATCTTTGAAACGGTTTCGAGGAACGTTCTCACCATCTGTTGAAAACATCTCATCAAGACTCAATTGAAGATTGCGCGAATAAAAAACAATCAAAACTAATTATTACGAATTAAACAAAATTGCGTGCAAAAACCATCACGTGAATTTTTATACGTAATTGACGTACCTGATCCACTGGCAGTTACAATGAATAATTATTTCAGCTGAGTGGAAGCGGATAGAGTAGCAGGATAGAATAGCGATCGAATATCAAACACTAGTCGGCGACCGCAACAAAATCTACATGCCCGTCCATGGCAATTTGCTAATATCTTATCGATTGTTCACTAATGTTGCTCCAATGCGAAAGTGGTGAACGGCAATTAGATTTCGTAGTCAGCCTAGCGAGGGGCGGAGTCCTCCCGTCCTCCACTCTCAGGACCTTTATTGTGCCCTATCTAGAACTTTTTACGACCTCATTTCGGCACATATGGTATCAGAGGTATCATACCATGTGAAAGTCTCCGAAACCGTTTTATCGTGAACCGTGCCTTTAAGGCAACCATTCTGTTATTGCACGAGAACTGATGGAGCGCTATTAACACGTTGATGACAATGTCGCGCAATGGTGCGCGACGGCCAGTCTGTCTCATGGGACGATGTCGCGCAATGCTGCGTGACGGTGCATTCTTAGATTAAAGTGTGTGTGCTCGTTCCGTTTTTGTGCACATTTTCAACTTAGGCTCATAAGTGTCCAAAATAGCACCGGCCACCTATTAAATTAATTCCAAGATGTATAATACAAATACAAGACAGGATCAACCGCAGAAGCCATATCGTCGCCGTCTAAACCACCTGCAGCATCATCGTCGCTGTCGAGCAGCCAGTGGTCAAAAATTTCGTTGAGTCTTCCATTTCAGTATCCGGGACACTCATGATCACAAAAATAATCGCAAGGATAATAATACTCTCAGAGACCCTATTTATATACCCCTAATTCAAGTTTATCACAGCCAAATTTGAAATTACGTCGAGTAGCCGCAAGTCTAGGGCAAAATTTGAATACTGCTGGAAGGCTAGCGGGTCTCCCATGTTTTTGAATGTAATCACTCATTTTTTCAAGAAATAGCAAATTTCCAAGAAAGAAACTGTGTCGTCCCACGGGACAGACACGAAAAATTGGCTCGTCGTCAACGTGTTAAACGACTATCGCTACCCAAAGAAAATGTCTTTTATAGGATTGCGGAGGAATCCCGCTGGGTACGGGAGATGCATAATGGGCAAATGAAATATTTGTAGAACACTTTAGCATCAATCAAAGGTTTTGCCTGCTTGAGTGGATGTTGTTTAGGAGTTGCAGAGAGTGACACGAAAGCATACTTTCACCTTCTCCGCGCTTTATTTGTTTTTCAATTCATGAAAAGAAAGGGGTCTACCAGGAGTCCAAACCTAGCCAAAAGTTGGACCATGCTTTCTGTTCTCCGTCGCTCAAGTACATTCTTGTATCCATATGGGGGCATTAAGTCGTTGGCATAAAGAACCATCCGTGGAGCTGGCTTCTACATACCCCGTGTAATGGCATCTAGACAGCAATAAAGTTTGAGAAACCCAGGTCGGTGGTGATTGCAAGGAGGTGAACGGTGAAGTGCGGCTTTCGCAGCGGACTCGTTAGATAAGAATGAAGTATGATAACCCACTCCACAAGCTCTCCAGGAACCACCTGCTCTCGCAGGGTTAACCGTGCGATTTCTCGCGATCGAAGGCCTTCTCCAAATTCAGAACAGCAATATGCGCTGCTTTTCGTTTCTCACGATGTTCCTCCAACAAGAGACGAGTGGCAGTATTGCATTGGTGGTGCTCCAAGCGGTAACAAAACGACACAGGTTATTGGAGAGCTGGACGACTTCTCAAATCAACGCCATTCGTTCAAAAGGTCCTATTTAAGCGAGAATTCATCTCATCAGGCGGTAG